CATTTTGGGAAAAAGAGTGAATAGTAATGGAAAATTAAAGGAGGTACTCTGTTTACTTTTATTATTTTATTATTATTTTTTTCATTTTAATTTATTCGTCTTACTCTTTTTCTAGTTTTCTTAAACAAATGATCTTTTTAATTTTATTTTTTACGTGACATATTTAAGATCACTATATTAAAAAATATTTTAGTACAGTCTAAAAAAATTGAGAAAAAATTATTTTCCTAAACGCTGTATCAAATTAAAACCAAACAAATAAGTTAAAATAAAAAATAATATATTAAAAATAATTTTTTAATATTTTTATCCTTACCGTTAAGTTCTAATTTTCCAAATCACTTTTAAGTCCATTTAATAATATTGTTAAAAAGTTTTCAAAGTCTATTGGGAAGACTTGGCGTAGGGAACAATATCATCCATTTAAAGCAAGTCAACATTTCGTTTACTACCTTTCCAAAGTCTTTTCCTCACTCACTTTTTATTTATTTTATTAAACATATATAGTACACGTTTCACAAGGTTTGTGAATACTCATTAAATTTTTATATTTTAATTTGTTTGTCGGATTTTAACTTTAACATTAAAAAGGTAAAAATTGTGTGGCTTGATTCATTCCTAACGCTATACATTTAACCTTCTTTTTCTTTTCTTTTTTTGCAAAGAAGTGAGCACGGCTTCCCCACCGCGACAAGCCGATTGTTGTAAGATTTAATATAAGATATTTTCGTTATTTTAATTTGTTTATTTAAAAATGCTAGGTAGTTAAGTCAGTTCTATCTAATTTGTGATTTGGTAAAGTTTCTATTGTGCCTATCTATGTGACTCCCGACTCTAGTTCTATCATTTGATACTCGATTTAGCTAGATGCCCTTCCCTATGAAGGTTCTGTGTAGGATTTCAATCTTAGATTATATTAAAACAAAAAAAACTCTAAATATAGAGTAGCGGATCAACACTTTTAGAGTCCATTTAAAAACATGACTTTTTAGGTCAACTTGAATAAGCTTATTGGCTTGTAAGACTTGAGTATGAATAGATCCGCTTCGTGGATTAAACAACATAAAATAAAATGTCAAAAATAAGTAAAATAAATGTTTACTTCATTTATTAATATCTTTATTTGGTCTGAATGGTTTCATGTTAAAAGTTTTTTAGTTTCACATAATTTTATGGTCCAAAAATATCATTTTATTGTACGGTTGCACCCAAGATACTTGTGTAATAACAATATATAGTATATACTATTGTCTTGTATATATTTATGTTAACTTTATAAAATTAGAATTTAAATTTAAGAAAATATATTCTTTTAAAAAAAAAAAGAGTGAGTTGGCCCAACACGACTTGCAATCCATATAGTGGATGGTGATTTGGACTTGATTTTTTTTAGACCACCAAAATATTGGTTAGTCCAACTTGATTCGTCAAATTTCAAAGACCACATAAATTTAACCCGAATGAACTAGGCCGATCCATATTGACGACTTTACACAAATATAGTTGTTTAATGTTTTTTTGGGTAACGGATTGAGAACAGGCGGTGCTAGAATTACCCGTGAATTGTAATTAGTTTTAATTGACTTTTTCAATGTATTTTCTAGAGTTGGGTTTTTAAAAAAACAATACTAGAAAAAAAACTATCGAAAAATCAATCGAGCTCGATTGGTTGGATCAATTTTCTGTAACTACTAGATTGTTTCAACCAACGATTTTGAATCGAAAAATTGATTGGGTTTTTCAAAATACCAACTGCACTGGATTTTAGAGTTCGATTTTGATCTTGAATTTAGGAGTGTAACTGCAAATTTGTTGTTGGAACTTGGAACAAAATAGTTCAATTGATTTTCTAACTCATACTAAATACTTTTTAAGTTTTAAACTAAAGATTTTGAGAAATCATTATTTATATACTTTTTTTTTATCTCAATTTATACGACAAATTTAGTCGATTTAAAAAAGAACAATATATTTGTTATGGGAAAATGGTAAAAAAACATTCTAAACTATTCAAAATAGATCAAATTTATATTTCGATACAATTTTGGGTCAAAAATGCCCTCGCAATTACATTTTTCTTGCTCAAAAATACCCTTCCTACTAATGGTTGACAAGACAAGAGATATACTTACTGATATTATCAATATCTAATCTATGTTAAGTCCCACTTATTTGATAAAAAAATCATAACAATATACTTTTCTAATTAAAAAATTATTTATTTTAAGGATATTTTGAATATATTACAAAGTCTTACCATATTTCTTGATTAAATTCGGATTCGGTTCCTCTCCATTTTTCCCTAGTTCTAGCTTGGATTGGAGACACATGTCATAGTTTTAGAATCAATGGTTGAGATCTAATTAATTAAAGCAAAGTCCTAATCATAGTTATTTACTTTAATATATTTGCTTCTTAAATATTTTTGCAATCCAACAATTCTAGATTTACATTAAATTTTTCCTAAATATATTTAAAAGAATTTCTTTTTTTAATTACTTGAGTATTTTTTGCTAATTTTTTACTTTTTTCCCTAACATTTGCCATTTCTCAAATAATATTTGCCAAATAAAAAATAAAAAATTGTGACCTGACGTTTTTTTTTTTTTAATTTTAGGAGTAAAATAAATTTTGTCACTCAACTTTAAATTCTTTCTTACTCCCTAAATGGAGTCCATATTGCTCTATAGACACTGTAGCTCTTAATACTCTATTAGAATAATAAAAATGCTTAACTGTATTATAATTTTTTTTCAAAAAAGTAAAAGTATTTAGTAAAAGTTTTAAATATGTATGCAGTAAAGAAAAGTTTTAATATATTTAGGAAAAATATAATAGATTGCAAAATATTTAAGAAGCAAATATATTAAAGTAAATAACTATGATTAGGACTTTGCTTTAATTAATTAGATCTCAACCATTGATTCTAAACTATGACATGTGTCTCCAATCCAAACTAGAACTTGGGGAAAATAGAGAGACAAGAAATGGAGAGAAGTTGAATCCATTAAATTCTATATGTCCAATCAAACGTAATGGTATAAATTGAAAAGGAAAAAGTATGTAACATTCGAAAATAAAATATAATAAAATATTTATTTATTTTATATCGTAAATGATAATATAAGAAGGAATCTACCAATATCATTGGACTAGGAAGATACTTGGTAATAGCCATAAATGTCAGATAAGATTTGTAGAGTAGTAATAATATGCCTCACATTGTTGAGTCAATGGCAAACACAATAAAGTGGAAACTGTCATTTTCTATGTTGAATGAAAATAGAAATGAGAATAACAATAAAATGTTCACATTTTCCCATCGTGTAACGTTTTCTTAGAACATTCCGTGGCCGGTGCTAAAAATAGTTCGGAAGTGTCAAAATGGACGGATTAATTTAAATTTGAACGGATTAAAATAAGTTCAATTAATAGATGAGGGGAGTAAATGACTTTTTTAAAATTATTTTGGTTAAAATAAGTTGTATTAAAATGGGCTGAAATGAATCATAATTCAATTTATTTAATTCTATATTAATTTGTTCTTTTATAATTTCAAGTAACTTATAAAATTAGTTTGTCTTTATTATGACAACTAGTATACGTGCCCGCGCAATGCACGGTTATTTTACTAAAAAATTACACATTTAAAGAAGATAACGATAAAAAATTAATATGATTTATGTGAAGTGCTCTTGGTACAAAAAATATTATATGTTCTACAATCTTTACTGTAACAATTATTAATAACAATTTTTTGTATTTAACCATTATGGTACTTTAGTTTTAAGCGAATTCATTGTACAATTTTTCATATTATCCCTAATACTCTCTTTGTAAATATTGTTTGTTCTATGGTTTAATAGTTTTCCTCGTATAAATTTTTACATGTAATAGAAATAAAGTTATATTAATTTGAATTCAAAATATAAAAAGAGATATTCCTTTTTTCAATATTTTTGCTTATTAAAAATCAACCGAAGTTTTTTTTTATATAATATGTGATAAGATGCTAAAATTTCATTCCACTTTATTTTCAATTTAGAATTTGAGATTATATTCAAATAATTTTATTTCCTATATGAAAATTTAGTTTTTTTTTTTATTGTGTTGCTAGAAATTCTTTCATTATATAATAAAAAATATTATTATATAGCAAACAAAAAAACTATGACTTTAACGAGTGTACGAATAGAGATGGAGACAACATTGTCTCCTTTTTCAATTTTGATAGTCTGATTCATAAGTACAACTTGAATATTTTTTAATCTACACTTGTGAGTCTATCATAATTTTTTTAGAATTATTAAGCTCTTTCACTGATAAATTTAAACAACATATATATTAAACTAACTTTAAGATGAATTGTGGGAAATTAAAATAAAATAAATTAATAATTAGTGGATTAGTAACTTTCTCACACTAATACAGATTTTCAAATAATTCATTATTTTTGTGAGCTAATTTTATCATCTCTATTTACACGATAAATAATTTATTGATCATTTATGGGCAGTGGCTATAGTCTTGCATTACAAAATGAATTTGACATATAAATTATAATAATAGGTAAATGTAAATTTCATAACAAGTCTTATAACGGAACCTGTTATTTCTAGTTAAATTATAATAATAGTGTAATTTTTTTAATAATAATTTAAAATATCAGTATGTGTATACTTTCTAACTTATTTTTAAATACGTAAGATAAAACATTAAAAAAAAAAGAACACATAATCTTACGCTTATCCTGAAAATAAATTATTCTTGTAAATTTGTGAAATTTACATGTAGAGGGATCAAAAGTAAAAGTTGAAAATTAATGGAAGGTTAATAAGATAATGCCTAACATCTTGCTTGTACTCTTCTACTTAAGGTTCACTTTTTTTTAATTAATAGCAAACTAGCCTAGACACCCCCACAACCTAGCGAATTCAAAAAAAGTAATAATTCAAGATATTGTAAAATTAAATAAAAATTTATCAATAGAATGAGCTAGATACCAAAAGTGCTATGTAGTATTTACTCTTGATTTCATATAAAATGTTGTAAAGTACAAGTATAGATTCACATGAGTACACTCATCTTCAACGATAAAAATAATATATCTAATGTAATTCATCGATAAAGTCAAATGTATTGGGATGAACCATTAGGTACTTCTTTTGAATTCTATTTCTTTACCAATAATTATTACAATCATCAAAGTCAAAGAATTCATGAGGTATAAAAGGAGAAGGTGGACAGACAAGTCCACAATAATCAATTGAAGGAGCTACAAAATCAATTTTACTATCCATTTCAAATGGTTCTGTCCAAAAACTTCCACTAGTAATTTCCTCCAAAATAGCTAATTCTTCTTGAAAAATATCTTGTTGATAGTCAATAGAGGATAATTCTTCACTTGATGACTCCTTTGGTGACCATTCTGAACTTTCCAATACTATATTTTCATGCATATTATTATTAGCACTTGCATTTTGATTTTCCACATTACTCTTTCTTTTAGTAATATTACTTTCACTCTTCTTATTATTGCATTTCTTACTTCCTTCACTCAAGTTATAATTAGTTCGCTTCTTCAGTGCTGTGTGCCAATGATTCTTTATCTCGTTGTCTGATCTTCCTGGCAAGTGAACTGCAATCGCTGACCACCTGATATCATAGATGTTAACAATTATTAGTTCTCATTACTACAATGAATTCAATGCTGAAAATTTTAAAAGTTGAATTCATCAAATTTAAATAGAAAACATACTTATTTCCAAGTTGAGCATGGAGGTTCAAGATGATTTCATCTTCTTCTTTGGTATAATTTCCTCTTTTAACATTTGGGCTTAAGTAATTCATCCATCGAAGTCTACAGCTCTTCCCACACCTTGCTAAGCCTAATTCACCAAGAATTTAATATATATCCGTCAATTAGAAAAACTCTAGACAGACTACAATAGTATGATAATTAATTACACATTTAAATAGAGGCGGAATCAAGATATTGAACTTAATGGTTTTGAGTTCGATTTAAATTCTTACCAGCATACTTGGGAAGTTGTCGCCAATTCCATGATCCATATTTAGTAATATAAGCAGCTAATTTTCTGTCTTCTTCAGGAGTCCAAGTACCCTTTTTACGACCATTTTCGTCGCGGCAAGGTGTTCTCACCATCGCTTAATTAATTCCGATCGATCTCAACAATATTCTTTGAAAGAGTTATTTATAACTAATATAAGTAGAGAAACCTGAATGAATATATCACAAAATTCTTAAGTTTTGAGTCTATTTATATAGAGGGAGCATAACGTGAAACACGTTGAAAAATGGGGCCTTGTAAAGAAAATTCCATTATCTTTCGTCAAATATTTTTATTTTCGCTACGTATAATGCAAAAGCACCTTTCTACTCGTTAAGCATTTATGTATAGAATAGACCAATCTTGCGGTGAGAGTGAAATTACACGCAATATTGTACCACACACTAAGGGAAAAAAAAAACAAAAAAACATAATCGGTGTATTTTTATATGTGAATTCAAACATAAAACTTTATATATCTGAAATTTAATTAATACAACTTAAAATATTTTAAGTCATATAAAAAAGTTCGATTAAAATAATTGTATGTGCCACGTAAATTGAAACAGAAGAAATATTTATTTATATATTTTATTCAATTGTTTTATGTTTTGTACCTATGTTAATAGTATTTGTGGACCACTTGAAATCGTACAACAAAAATCTATCAATGGACCAGCCAAACATGTTGTGTATGAAAATATTTTTCTTCCGGCCAAACACACCCTTAAATTAAATGATTATGTGCTATATCTTTTAAGTCATTATTTTGACTGAATTTTTATTATGTGTCTTTTATAATTATGTGAGGCCTTTTGTTGTCTCAAAAGAAAAATAAACTCGAAGTTTATAGTTCATGAGACTATTTTTTTTGTGAGAATAAAAAAAATTTGTCACGCAACTAATATTAATAATTATGTGAGACACGTAATAAAGTTTTTCATATAAGTTAATATTTGCATAGCAACGTACAACAAAAATCAAATAGTGGACCTGTCAATTTATGGTCTTGAGGCCCTCTTTCATTGTGCACCAGGAATATCACTATTTAAGCCGATATTTATGACCTTCTTCCTATGATTTTCCTTTTTTTTTAGTGGAAATTAGTGACTGAGATTAATTTGTAAGTACTAAAAAGCCAACGACACATAGCATCATAATCTGGCAGATTAAGTTTCTTGAGAAAATTGAATAGAAGGTGTCTCTTAAGTCTCTATTTAAATTTTGGTGACTATTTTGACCAAAAAACGAGTCAAAGCATTTAATTATTAGATTAAGTTAATTGGGACTGAATTAATATTTTCAAAACTTCTAATTTTTAAAAAAATACAAAACAGTCTAAATTTTAAAATACAAAACAATCCAAATTTCTCTCCACTTTCTTGGATTCTCCACTTTCTTTAACTTCTCTTCTTCATTGTTCTTCCTCTCTTCCGACTCAAACATCTCTTCCTCAAATCTGCTCCGCCATCGCTTCCAATCGACTTTCGGCAACTTTTCAACTTCCGTCAATTGCTTCGATTCTAAGCATCAATTTTCTCTCTTCGCAGGTAAAAACTTTTATTTTTGAAAAAAACTAGGGCTTTTTAGTTATAAAGAAAAAGATGAACTTGAGTTGTCTTCTCTTTATGTATACGTTAGCAATTTTAGAAGTTGATGCTTGAAAAAGAAGACAAATCCGTAAAAAAACCCTTAATTTGTTGTTGTTGTTCTCCAACATTGTTGTGTAATAGTAATAGTTATTGTGATTTTTGAGTTTTTCGTAGACATATTTATTATTTGTATTTCTTGAACAATTGTTGATATATTGACTTCTTATTGTTGTTTGTGTTGTTGTATTGAATCAATTGGTGTTGTTGGTATTCTTGATTTTGTTGGAAAGAATGAAGAAAAGAAAACATAATCAAGACATCATAAATAATTTATTGCCTCCAAAAACATTGCTAAAGTCAATTTTCTAGAGGTCACATGATTTTTACTTTCGACAATTCATGCAAAGAGAAGGGCTTTATTCTTCTTTACTTATAAACTCTTATATCTATGGAATAAGATCCCTCTGGCTATAATATTTTTGGAACAAAGCAACAAGTACATGACAAAGTCTTTCTAAGATTGTTTTCTACACTTAGGCTAAGCTGAAATGATTAAATGTTTTTAATCAAACCGAACTATTGGCTAATATACGATTTGTTGTTCTAACTTACACATAGTTATGTTGCAATTGGAGGAAGATTAGAAGAGTTTGTCATGGGGCCATGAGTTTTTTAATAGTGTAAGTTAGAGATTCTGCCCAATTGGATTTGAGCAGCAATGTCTACAAAGTGTGCATAACATCATAATCAGGATCACGCTTTCTTTTCCCTTTTAGTTATAAAGCAAAAGAAGAACCTGAGTTGTCTTCTCTTTATGTATTCGTTAGTAGTTTCAAATGTGAGAAAGAAGTTTGATCTCTTTTCCTTTTAGTTATAAAGAAGAAGAACTTGAGTTGTCTTCTCTTTATGTATTCGTTAGCAATTTGAAATGTGAGAAAAAGGTTTGATCTTATGAAGAATCCTCTTTGCATCAATTTTATTTTATGACTCATCTATAGTCATCTACTGCAATAGATAGGTCATCTGTTGGAAGAAAACATAAAGAGTTTGCTACTGTTTTGCTTTTGTCCAACAGATGACTGATCTGTTGCAATAGATGGGTCATTTGTTGGACAAAAACTTAATCATTTGTTATTGTTTTACTTAGGTCCAACAGATGACTTATTTGTTGTAACAGATAGGTCATATATTTGATGAAATCTCAATCTTTTGTTGTTATTTTGTTTTCATCCAACAGATTATCGATCTGTTGAAACAGATGGGTCATCTATTGGACGAAATCTCAATAGCTTGTTCCTGTTTTGCTTACTTCCCACAGATGATCAATATGTTGCAACAAATCAGTCATCCGTTGTAAGAAAACTTGATCATTTGCTACTGTTTTGCTTTGTTCCAATAGATGGCCCATCTGTTGCAACAGATGGATCATCTGTTAGAAATTAAATATATAGATAAATATTACAATAAATATTTTATAAATTATAATTTATAGATTGGTTTTAATATTACCTACTTTTGTTTATAGATTGTACATACATGGCTTGTCCCCATAGAGTAAGAGTTGCAAATGTCATTCTTTTTAACTTTAGGATTTATTGACACAAAATCAGACCCTACAGTGGATCAGATAAAAAAAGAATTGGCTGGAGCAACAACGATAAAAAAGGAAGCACCTATTGTTTCTAGTGATGCTGATGATGTTGCAATAAATGTTAATGTTAATGTTGGTGTTGATATTGGTGATGTCGGTGCTAAAAGTGATGGTGAGCATGTTGATGATGTTGATGGTATATATGGTGGATTCACCCCTTTCAGTGGACATACCACATCTTTTGCTCATTTTAGCTCATGTTCTGCATGTAAATGTGAAGAATGCAAGAACAAAGAGGCTTAGTTAATATCTACTGATGAAGAAGTCGCTTGACGCTCTTACTAGTGCTGTTAAGCAATTGATATCTAAGAGAGGTGTTATTCCATCAAGAAAAATTTCGGATCCATTCACACCATTGAAGATTAAGAGGATAAGAAAATCAATTTCCAAATTATTATCAAATATGAAAAAGAGACAACAAATTGCAACTACTCCTCTTCCTTGCAATGTTGAGTCATCTTCAGGAGCCATAGAAGAACAACAGAAGTTGTAGAGGGTATGGGTTGCTGAAGTCATATTTTGTAAGGTGAAGAACCTGATATTTTGTAATCGCTAATGACAATATTTTATATTTAATAGATGTCCAGTTATTTTATCATGAATTCTATTTTGTAAGCTGAAGAATTTTATATGAATTGTAATTCATGAACACTTATCATATTTAGTTAATCATATTTTATAATTGTCGATGACAATATTTATATTATATAGATGTTCAGTTATTTGATCATGAATTCTATTTTATTCTTAGATTTGTAAAATGTTAAATTATACTATTGAAACAGATGTTGTAGCAGGTTATAATCTGTTGCAACTCATCTATTGCAACAGATAAATCATCCATTAGCAACAGATGAGCATATATGTTTGATTATTTTCAACGGATGGGTCATCTATTGCAACAGATAATACATATTTGACATTTATTGTAACAGATTTCTATATTTGTTGCAACAAATGATCATATTTATTTGATTATTTTCAACAGATGGGTTATCTATTGTAATTGAACTTATAATTGAACTTCATTTATCACTAATTATGGGTTAAAGAAGCATTTCATATCAAAATAATCAATTGGTCACTTTATTTAAGACAAATACAGTTAGCTGATCATGTAATTACTCTATAATGCATAGAAAATGTAATTGAACTTATTAATTGAAAGGTAATTTTAATTAAATAAGTTTATTTATCACTAATTTAGGGTTAATGAAGCATTTCATATCAAAATAACCAATTGATCACTTTATTTAAGACGAACACAGTTAGTTAATCATGTAATTACTCTATAATGCATTGAGATTATAATTAAATTTATAATTGAAAGGTAATTATAATTAAATAAGTTTATTTATCACTAAGTATGGGTTAATGAAACGTTTCATATCAAAATAATCAATTGATCACTTTATTTAAGACGAACACAGTTAGTTAATCATGTAATTACTCTATAATGCATTGAGATTATAATTAAATTTATAATTGAAAGGTAATTATAATCGAATAACTTTATTTATCACTAATTATGGTCTAATAAAATATTTCATATCAAATATATATAGAGTCGACTGAAAATGATCAAACACATATACTCATATGTTGTAACAGATGAAGCATCCATTGCAATATGTGAGCATATATGCTTGATTATTTCCAATGGATGAGTCATCTATTGCAACATGCAATACATATTAGATATTTGTTGCAACAGATTCCTATAATTGTTGCAACAGATAATCATATTTATTTTGAGTATTTTCAACAGATGGGTTATCTATTGCAAACAAATAATGCAATAGATAATGCATCTAATGCAAAATATACAAAGTTTGTTGCAATAGATGAGCATAACTAATATATTTTATATAATAAATATGAACATACACAATTAACCAAAATGAGTTAAAATTATAAGATTCA